TTCATTTTGCTTGATAAGAAGGGAACCATATCCACGTACATAGTACGTTAAAGGAAAGTGGGTGACATGCGGACGCACAAACAAAAACTATAAAGTGGACTGTTTTTAAAAACAATTACGGCAAATATTTTATTTTGGTAAACGGGTGACGGTCGGAAAGGATGGTCCCTAAAATTTCTAAATACAGTATAATCCGGGTTTAATTCACTTAAAATATTTTGGAACTATCGGGTTTAATTCCACTTTTTACAAGAAAATTATTTTGAATGATTTTTAAATCAAAAATAATTGATGAAATTAACTTTCGGTAGTTTTCATAAATTTAATTATTTAATGATTATTTGATTCAATCAAAAACAAATGATGATGGTCAAGACTTTTTCATCGTCTCTAAAAATAAAGTTTTTTTTACTATTTAATATAATATTTTAATTAAAATTTTAGTAAATGGGAGCTTGGGATAATATTTGGTCTGGTTCCCGAATTAAAAATGTGTCGATAATTCAACTCGAAACAGTGGAAACTGAGTGAGATGATAATCGAAAAGAAGGCACAGGCGGTCTGTTTGTGCACCCGTTCCACACACTCTCAATGTCCTCCTTGGCGCGGATCCCAATGAACGCCCCGTTTGAAAAGGGAACCACATCAACGTCCAAACAGTACGGAGGAGGAAAGTGGGTGACATGGGGACGCACAAACAGTGACTTAAAGGTGGACTTCCTTCAAAAAACACTCGCGGCAAATACTTTGTTAAGGTGGTGGTGAAACAAGTGCGTTTAAATAAATAAAAACGAATAAAAATAGAGTTTATTATATTCGTTTTTATTTATTCATTATTTTATAATAAGTAATTTATAATATTATTGTACCGAAAAATAGATCCAGAAACAAAAATAATGCATTTTTATTCAAAAACAAATATTCTGATTAATTTAGGTGAAAACCCAATTATTTTACATAAATTTAAACAAAAAAACAAGACTATGATAATAAAACTCAAAAGTGTTGATTTTATTATTTTTTCTTACTTCGGGTTTAATTATTTAGAATGAATCAAACCCGATTATTTAATTAAACCCGGACTGGAATTAAACCCGGATTATACTGTATATTTTAAAATAAACACTCAAAGAAAAATGTATTAATCAGTAACTGATCAAACTAAATAAAATATCAAGAAGAGTATTAACACATACGCAAAATAAAGCACCAATAACGCAATATGAAAAACAAAAAATGACGATACCAACACAATTCCACAAACTATAATACCGAAAATCCACATATTTCTGACACCATTGCTATATCTTAAAGCCACTTCAAAAAGTGAAATAATAAATGAAAGAATTTTTGATTTTGTAAAGAAAAACACTTTTTCTGATAGAAAATAAACAACATCGTCATCGTAAATAGGAATACAGCACACGCACAGTATATACCAAGAACACATACAAAATATCATTCCAAGGGCTCCTTCTATTTTTATCTCAACGTAACTAACAAAGAGACAAACAGACAACAAAAACAAAAATATCAAAATAGATGACAAATCACGCGACGATTGTTTAAGTTGAATGATTGCAATGTACATCAAAATTACATCAAAACACAAACTCATTTCAATTTTCGAAGATGAAAGCGCCTGTACCAAAGTACTATTCATCACAAGTATCGAGAATATAAATTTGAGTGGAAAGTAACTCAAAAGAATTATAAACGGAAAAATATGT